AACACAAAGACAATCAAAAAGTAATAAAATGCACAAATCATGAAAATTTTACAGTAAATGAGGGAAAAAAATATTTTTTTCCCAGATTTTAGTAAAAGTCCAACAGAAAATTTGCAGCAAATCAGACACCTAAATATGTATTTTAATCATTTATAAATAATTACAATGTATATTTGTGTATTGCTCCTTTTTTTGTAGTTCGAGGACAGAAATGAAAACATAATAACTCGGAAAAATTAACATTTGTATAAAAACTTTTGCTCGTTTTGCAAACAGAGCACATAAGCACTTAAAATAAAATATAAGAAAATAAAAATCTCTCCAGAGCACATTGTATATTAATGTTTTTTTGCACTTTGACTACAACAAAAAGAAACATGCACACACAATATTCATTATTCAGACAATGAGAAAAAAGACTAAATGCCAGTCCAGGGATGACATTTCCCCTCAGCTGCAGCAGTTTGTCTGCAGGAGGTGTTGCTGTCTGTTATCTCTCCTGCAGCCAGCTTCCTCTCATTAATCATATTCAGCAGTAACAACACATTCATGTTACAGTTTATAACCAAAGGTTTGCTAAGCAGAACATTTCCTAAAGGGAGAAATCATGAATTCTGATGCTGAAGTATTACCTTGCAGTCAAGCTGTCCAACCCACTGATAGTGTGTGTGTGTGTGTGGGGGGGGGGGGGGGGGGGTGCACTCATCTGCAGAGACACATCTCTGTTTTATTGTTCAGAACTGTTCAGGGCCAGATGAGGTGGTGTACAATAAGATAATGCAAGTGATCAGAATTTGTGTTTTCTCTGCAGATATCTCTTTTTCATACACATAAATGAAAAAGAGGCCCAAATAGTGACCGGCGGTCCGGCGGAGTGACCACAAAATTTGGCTGTTTGGAGTTGCCATAGAGATGTACCAGCAGAACTATGAAGGTAGACAAAAATAATAATAAAAATCAAGCAGAGTCGGCCTGTCCCAAAACAGATTTTGTTATCTGAATTTGGCTTCTCCGCTTGGCCTAGAATAGGCCAACGATGTGAAATTTCTCCTGAAGGTAGCCCCCCGAGGACATCTGTGGACCTGTATCAGAGCTGAGCTGGCTGATAGACACTGTGCCATTTCTTTTCAGGACTATGGAACTTTGTGGCAGTGTCAGAGAGAGAGTCAGAGTTTCTTTATTGTCATTCGCACCACACGTTGTACATGCGGTGGAACAAAATTGTGTACACAGGGTCCCAGTTACATCCAACAATAAAATGTAAACGAAAAACAGTAATAAGATATGAACTAAGAAAAATATCAACTAAAAATACGCTAAGCTCTAGTATCATAAAAACAATACGCCAAACAGCAGCATGAGCATGAGTCTGTGTGAGCAGATGAGCATGAATGAACACAGCAACATGAAACAGATCAGCAGCAACATGAAACAGATCAGCAGCAACATGATGTGATTGATCCTGATTAAATATTCATGAGTCTAACAACCTCAGGGTAGAAGCTGTTCCTCAGTCTAGTGGTTCTACACTTAATTAATGCTACTCAACCTCCTGCCTGAGGGGAGCGGGGCAAAGAGTGTGTGTGCTGGGTGAGTGGGGTCCTTCATGATGCAGGTGATCCTCTTCCTCTGGAGGTGTAAATGTCTGTGATGGTGTGGAGGCTGACTCCAACAGACTTCTGTGCAGCCTTCACCACTCTCTGCAAAGCTTTTCTTTCTGCAGCTGTGCAGCCTCCATGCCACGGACAACTCACTGCCTTTGTCAGCCTCCTCATGCATAAATGGATTATGATGTCATTAGTGTGTTGCTGTTTATCTGCAAAGTCTTTTTTGCAACTTTCACACTCTACCCTGGCCAGGACATCGTGAGAGATACAATTTTTTTTTTAACCTCCCCTCATGTTCTCTTTTCCTTATCTAGTTTTGTCTGTCTGAAACAGTTCTTTCTTGTAAATGAGTCCTCGAGGCTCAGTGGGAACTAACCTGTATAAATAAAGGTTGAATGAAAAATAAAATTAAAAGGGGTCCGGTTAAAGCCAAACCAACAGGAAGTGAAACAAGACTGTGCGATGTTGGAAATGAAAAGAATCGTCACATGACACATCAGTGTCTCTGCAGCTCAATCTGACCAAGAACCACAGAGTCAGACCCACATGATTGCTGGAGGGTTTTCCTCTAATGATAACCCTGTTTGTGCATGTGTGCGTGCATGTGTGTGTGCATGTGTGTCTTTGGAGTTTTACCTAACAGGCCAAACAGCAGCTGTTAAAAGGAGAAGGGGCCATCCCGACTGCATGATCATGTGTAACATTTCCAGGAGCCGCTTAGTCCTCTGGTACTCAGAAAGCGTGCAGACGTCTCGGCAGACGCTCCCTTTGTGTCACTGTGACACTTTATACTGTCTGATCTTTACTGAGTGCCCTCAGGGAACATCTGCACTCACTCTTTGGCTGTTTTAGAAATATCATGTCCATGTCCTCCTCAGGACAGCACATTATGCTTTTACCTGTAGTATAACATGTTACAGAATGGCTTGTCTGTGCTTGAAGCAACTCATTTTTTTAGCTAAGAGATGCTAATTAAGAAAAATTTACTTGAACTCGTATTGTAGGTTCAATTTAGACAACGAGGTGGAACACACTCCAACCACAACACTCCCGGGAAAAATATGACGTGGCCAAAAATTTATGAAAAGGGCAAACTATAAAGTGCGAAGCAGAGCCTTCAATTGTCAGGATTGTCTCTTGTGGAATCAGCTTCTGCTTTTTGTCTTTCAGGCTGACAGCCTGTCTACTTTTAAAACAAGTAACACGTCTGGTCAATTTTAAAATAAGGTTCTGCCAAATAGTTGTTAATTTTATCAAATTATTTAAAAAAATATTCAAGCTTGTGAAACAAGTCTTTTGCAAAAAATTACCAATGTGAACAAAACGATACATTGGTTAATAATAAACCACTACATTTGTGCATGGCACAATTTATTTAGATTTTATTTAGAATGTCAATATACATACATATATATATATATATATATACGTATATTGATATATATACATATATACACTACAGTAGTCCCTCGCTACTTCACGGTTTGTTTTTCGCAGATTTGCTCTATCTTGATTTTTCAAAATAAGATTGGACATGATATGTTCATGATACTAGGCGTGCTGATCATAGAACGTGTTTATGCTAATGATTCTGTGTTTTTGTTCCACTGGGCAAATCTTGGGGTCCCACAGGGTTCGATTCTTGGACCCCTTCTTTTCTCACTTTATTTGCTCCCACTGGGGTCCATCCTGAGGAAAAATGGTCTTTCATTCCATTGCTATGCTGATGACTGCCAGATCTACCTGCCTGTGAAACCAGCAAGTCTTTGCTCCATTCACCCTCTGTTAAAATGTCTGGACGACATTAAGGCCTGGATGGCTTCAAATTTCTTAAGTTTTAACAATGACAAAACTGAAGTCATTGTTTTTAGCCCTAGCTCAACTGCCACCACTGATCCTGTCAACATGGACTCTCTTCAGCCATATCTGAAGCAGTCTGGTAAAAATCTCGGGATGGTTTTAGACTCTGACTTCAAGTTTGACAAACAAATCAACTCTGTTCTGCAGAAATGCTTCTTCCAACTCAGACAGGTAGCTAAACTCAAGCCAGTGTTTTCCAGACCTGACCTTGAGAAACTAGTCCACGCCTTTGTCACGACCCGATTGGACTATTGCAACGCACTGTATGCTGGGATCAGCCAGGCCTCCATCTCATGTCTTCAGCTGCTGCTCGGCTTTTAACCGGAACTCGTAGGTCTGAACATATTATCCAGTTCTGTCCTCCCTTCACTGGCTCCCTGTTCATACGAGGATTGTTTTTAAAATTCTTCTGTTGACCTTCAAATGCCTAAATGGCCTTGCACCCCTTTACCTCTCTGAGCTTCTGGAACCTTGCGTTCCCTCTCGGGCCCTGAGATCATCCGATCAGCTGCTTTTGGCTGTTCCAAAAACAAGACTGAAGCTCAGAGGAGATCGGGCTTTTTCAGTCATGGGCCCCAAACTCTGGAACAACCTGCCCCCCAACATCAGACAGGCCACCTCCCTTCCTCACTTCAAATCCCTGTTAAAACACATCTGTTCTCGCAGGCATTTCACACAGTGTAAATTGATTTAGTGTTTTTTAATCTGTGACCCTATGTTTTAAATGCTTTTTATTAATTCTTCAGTTATTATTATTAGTGTATTGTATATATATGTTTATATATTTTTCTCTTTAATTTACTCATTGATTGTTGCTGTTGTTAAGCACTTTGATAACAGGTTCTGTTTTAAATGTGCTCTATAAATAAAGTTGACTTGACTTGACATTGGGGCCATTTGTTCATTCAGCCAAATGTTTTGTTTACATTGAGTGTAGACCTGCATTTGCTGCAACCTGCCAACTGGATGATCCACTATGAGAAGGTGCTGCTTATTGTTTGTTGCAGCTCTTCTGACTGAAGAAGGGTTTTGGATAAAAGACAAAATGTTTCAACAAAGAACTTGTCTAGACGGGCCTGACTCAACCTTGTTACATCGTCAATTTAACATCTGGACAATCTGACAGTTCATCTGGTGACCACAGTAGTCTGGACAAAATTTTGGATCAACCTGTTCAGTCTGGACCAAAATGGTGGAAGTTTTACTCTGTTGCATGTGGTTCAAAGTGGTCTTTATTTCCTTCCTGGGCTGTTATCAAAGTTTTAAAGAAGGAGAAATGTTCTTTAGTTTGAATAAAGTGTATGAAGGTCGTCTGTAAAAGTCCTCTGTCAAAGCTTCAGTGAAAACTGTAAAGTGTGATGAATAATTCAAAGGATGATATCTTTTTACCAGAGATAAGCGTGTTTGGTTGCCATGGCAGGTGTGCATGTATTATTTACTGGTTGAGGCAGTGTGACTGGAAGGCAGCTTACAGTCATTTTTAGATCTCTGCGTGCAGCTGAGGCTTAAACCTCGTAGTAATCCATTAGAATCCAAACGGTGCGTCTGAGCTCGGTGTTTACCTTCGGATGGGAGGAGGAATGAAGCAGGGGGTCTGCGATGGAGGGGACAGAGCGGATGGCAGGACAGGAGAGGCCACAAAGGCGGGTGAGGTTCCGCGTGGCTTCTGGGAACAGCGGCCGGGTGCTGAAGGAGATGTTCAAGGATGAGGGGCCCTCGGACTCCCTGGATTCAGACTGCGCCAGCAGCTCGGACGCAGAGCGGGCCAGCACCCCCTCCACAACAGGAGATGTTCATGGACACCTGTTTGGATACCTGGGCTCTGAGCTGGACGATAGCAGGAGCGAGTTCGATGAACTGCTCGTGTACGCGGGGACCACCAAAGACTGGGTGTTCACCACCAAGAGGGTCAACATCCTCAGTAACAACGGGACAGTCCGAGGGGTCAAACACAAAGTCAGCGCGGGTCAGGCGCTCTTTGAAAACCTTCCTAATGCTGTAAGTACCTGTACGCTGGTTTAAACTGTCCCTTTTAATCACCTCATAGCCTGACTGGTTTCAGGACTGCCCCCCGTTTGACAGAAGCTATTCAGTTTAGTTTATTTATATAGCGTCAAGTCACAACAGAAGTCGTCTCAGGGCACTGAACAGAAACATTCATAAAAAGTAAGTTAATAACATTAATTATCTGAGGAGCAGACTGCTTTGAGTTTAACTTCATTGCAGACTCTCGTCTTGAGCAAGCATGAACAGTGGAAAAGAAAAACTCCCTCATGAGGAAGAAACCTCCTGTAGAACCAGGCAGGACAAGCGGCTATCTGCTTCAAACAGCTGGGTTTGAGAGGAACAGGACGGAGGAACAGATACACAATGGCAGGTCAAGTATCACGTTAAGATAGAAATAGTATCAAATGAAAACTATTCATTTGTAACAATTCATTTTATGAATTTAGAGGTCAATTTGACCTCCAGTAGTCTAAGTTTATAGCAGCATAACAAGCCGACTTGAACTATAGGCTTTACCAAAAAGGAAAGTCTTAAGCCCAGTCTTGAAACTGGACAATGTGTCAGTCCTATGGACAGAAATTGGAAGTTGGTTCCACATAACTGAACGCTATTCCTCCCATTCTGCTTTTGGAAACTCTAGGAACCTCAAGTAAGCCTGCAGTCTGAGAGCTAAGTGCTCTGTTAGTAAAATATGGAACAACAAGGTATGTAACATAAGATGGAGCTAGGTTGTTGAGGGCTTTGTAGGTTAGAAGTAAGAGTTTGAATTCTATTCTGAATTTGACCGGGAGCCACTGGAGAGAAGCTAAAACTGTAGCGATATGATCTCTCCAGTTTCTCCAGAAGCTACATGCAGGTGTAGAACGAGAACAAAAGCTCACAACAGAGTTCAGAGAACAATTAAAGATTAATGACGCGTTACATCAGGCGTTTCAGGAAAACTAATCAGGTTAATGAATTCAGCACTGCTTTCTTCTGTCCCTGCACTGACTACTGCTCGTCAGTCTGAAGAACAGAGTGCAAACCGCTTGTAAAGGATATAGATTTTAAAATTGTTTACCTAATTATATATATATATATATATATATATATATATATATATATATATATATATATATATATATATATATATATATATATATATATATACCTGCAATTTTCATTGAGAGGCCAGTCAAACCAAACGCAATCTCCACCGCAAACTGATTAAGCCTATCTGTTAGTAGTTTTAAATAGTGGTGTCTTGGTACCAGTATTGGTATTAGTATCAGATCCAATATTACCCTAATGTACTCATACTCGTACTCATGAAAATGCCCCAATACTTTAAACTTATACCCCTTTTATGCTTGTTGACGTCATTTCTTTTTCCACTTTGCAAGTAACTGAGGACCAAAAAAAGTCCATTATATTCTTTTTCTGATAAACACAAGTGACATTGACAGAAGACTGCAGTGTGTTTCCAATGTCGTGTGATTTTTTAAGTACTAACTTATTAACTACTTTGTGTCAGTGCACATTATCAGTAAGTACCCAAACGGAAGTACTTATAGTTGTAGTCAGTGTAAATAAAACTAGTATCGGACACCATGTTTTAACTTTTGAGAGTCCTGCTCCAAAGTACTTGTTTAAATAGAACACATTTATGGACTGTAAATATTTTTTTTAATCTTAAAAAAAAATTCCAACACTAGTCAAATATGCCTAAAATAATATGAGAATGGCCTTAGAGGTACTAACCAGTGAGTATTTTTAAAGTATAGTAAATTGTTTGGTGAATCGAATGAAGCAAAATGTAAACAATTAAAGATTATTGCCTGAAATGAAATCTGGAAACATGGTTTCTAATTTGAAAAATGTTGAGAATTGAGTTTTTGTTTGAAGGTGTGCCGAGGGTTTTAATCAGAGTAAAACATAAAGTTTTCAAAAACTGAAATATTTTTGTATAATTCTGCAAACTCAAATGACATTTGGTTTCATTTGGCTTCAAAATACCATCAGCCTTCTCACACAGACATCCATTATTACGTTGAACGTCGTTTGTATCTGTTAGTGAAATGTTTTGAATTTTGTATAAGGATCTGACATTATGAATTCTTTGTTTTTTTGTTCTTATTGAATTTGCATTTTATTTCTATATGTCCATCGTTTGGCTCTGTAAGACAGGATTTTGTGTCTCAAGACGTAAATGAAGGCAAAATGAGCAAAAAATAAAAATAAAACATGAAGCACCTGTGTCTGCTCTGGACTCAGCTCTATTAAAAACTTACGTGGACCAGTACACCTCAGTTCACTGCTGACGACAAAGAGCTTAACACACAAACACAAAAGTTAGGTGACCAGATTGTCTCCAGACAAGGTTTCCAGTAAACTTTCATAGCCCCCATCAGACAATAAAGGTGGAGAATTAAAAAAAATTGCAAAGATAATTTGAGAAACTTTTTAAATTTAAAATTTGTGCATAGCTAATGTGGCTCTTTTTGTGTTGGCTAATGTCTAATATCTGTCACAGCCATCTTTAATTGGATTTATTCTGAAATTGAATCATAAATGTACATCAAGTGATTTCTTATGGAAGCTTCATTAAAATGCATCAAGTGATTCATGACATATTTTGCTAACGGTCAAGCACGGTGACTCAAGCAGTTAAAGCTAAAGTTTTAATATAAGGTACAATACAATGGGTAGTACAGTACTTGGATTATGTGTTTTGAGTGAGTCTCAGCCACAACTATACCAAATGTTTGCACAATATCTGCAGAATTCACTGAATTAGAGCCACTTCTGTGTTTACCAGGGTCAGTTGGATGTGGCAGCCATGTTGGTTTCAGTTGATCGTAATCCATTGTAGTTACAACCAATGATTGTTTCCAGGCTGTTTCATTAAAATCTACAAATCTATATGTATTTAGCAATAGCAATATGTTGTTTAGTGGTACTATTTTGTGTCTTCGATGGAAGAACACCAAGTGTGGTGTACGTGTGCATTGATCTGCCTGTGTTCTTTGGCAAATGTTCAATAAAGTAAGTGACGTTCAACCGAAGGTTCCGTTGTGTTATAATAAATAAGTTATGCAGCGAGAACACAGTGACGCATGAGACATCTTGCCAACCAACAAAGCTGACCCAAATACGAGAGAAAATTTAAACAAAGATCCTGCAGAATCTGATAACTCTCAGAATATGTGTTGGTGATCATCCCTGCTACTCGCACACCAAATTTTAGGTCAATATCTGTAACATGAATGTAGGTTATAGCCATTTTGTTTTGTTTAAAGTCATTTGGCTGTGGTAGCAGTATTTTGGCATCATCTTCAACACTTTAAACGTTACAGGTTGCATGAGATATTTAAAACATATCCATTACCCACCATTGTTCAGTCTTGTTCAGTCATTACCCAACAATAGCGAAAATCTTGAATCAGGATTATTCCAAAAGGTTGAGCAGACATAGATGTAGTTAAAAGTAGATCCAGTGGTTCATGAGATATTTTAAACACACACGCAGGCAAACACAACCTCATCACCTGCCTTTGTCTTCAGTGGCAGGTGATATCTACATGAATAAACACAGCAGTGGAAGAATCGTAACAACAGTCAGACGACGACAGACTGCTCATTATAATCCTTGACCTTCAGTATTTTTGTTGTCTTCTTCACAGATGGGGTTATCGCTGGAGTTTGGGCGGATAGTGATCTACACCACCAGTTTCCGTGTGGTGAGGACGACGTTTGAGCGTTGCGAGCTGGTCAGGAAGATCTTCCAGAACCACAGGGTGAAGTTTGTGGAGAAGAACATCGCCCTGGACTGCGAGTACGGGAAGGAGCTGGAGGAGCGGTGCAAACGTGTGGGCGAACCTCCCTCACTGCCAGTCGTGTTCATCGATGGACACTACCTCGGGGTCAGTCCCAGTCACTCTGTCCTGATCAAACCAGAGATCAGTATCTTAGTCAGGCAGGATGGTTCTGATGTCACACTTGTTCTGCAGGGTGCTGAAAAGATCCTTGGCATGAATGAATCAGGAGAGCTGCAAGATCTTCTGATGAAAATTGAGGTTGGTTTAATTCTCTGCACCTATGAGCCAGAAAAACTGGTGCTGAATGACTTTGAAGAAGCTTGCTGAAGAAGCTGAAATAAAACAAGCAAAACATTAGCTAAAAGCTAAAAAAAAAAAAGCCAAATATTAGCTAAAAATGAGCAAAAAGCGAACTAAAGAAAACTCTGGCTGAAAGTAGCTGAACAGTAGCTAGAAGCCAATAGTTGCAAAAGGCTAGCTTGCACCTAAAATAAGCAAAACACTAACTAATATCACTAACCCAAAGCAGAAAAAGGTTGGGTAAACACTAAAGAATGCAAAAACCTAGCTAAAGATACAAAAAGGTATTAAAAGGTATCAACGGGCTAGCTAAGCTAGAAGTAACAAAACAGTAGCAGAATGATAGATAAAATAAGTAAAAGCTAGCTCCAAGCAAAAATAGCTGAAACAGATTTTAAATAGAATAATGTTTTGAAGGAAATGGAGAGATATTATAGTTATATGTGAAACTATTTGTAAATAAAATTTAAGATTTTGAATATTAAAAGTATAAAAGTAAAATTTTAAAAAGTCAAAACACCCATCTCTGGGTATAAATGGCTAGAATGGCACAAAACTATGCAGTAAGATCACAAATACAAGGTCAGGGATAACAAAAGAGAGGAGGCTGACTCAGCAATATTAATGTTAGTCAAAATCAGATGGATTTCCTGAGCATCACTTCCAGTCAACCCTGTGGTTTGATCCATAAAGATGGTAAATAATAGATGTTTTCTCTCAGATTCTTCTCGGGACATCGTAGTTCAGTCTTGGCTTTGTGACTTGATAAAACACAGAGAGGTTTGTCATCATGAATTATTAACATTAATATTTACACTTGTTCAAAACCACCGAGGCAAAGACATTATAAACAGGAGCTGTCCAGCTTGTCATGTCATCAGTGAAACGTGAGCAAACTGCGCTAATAATCTGCCAGAAATAATGGGGGGAGGGGGGGAACTGATTGGTTAAGGCCTCACACTGAACGGCAGCAGCATTATTCACATTTAGGTCTCCCCCCCTTTAAATAAAAATAAATAAATATTAAAGATAAATCAGTCTGATGACATTTAAGTCATACAAAGTTACAGGATGCAGTTGCAGGATGTTGAACATTGTTCCGCTCGAAAAGATTGTGCATGTCCATCCGCTAACATGATGAGAGTGAACAATTAAAGACTTTGCTCTCAAAATATTGAGGGAAAAAAAAATGACATTTCGAAAAATGTTTTAATTTGTTTCTGTAACAAATGGTAAAAGTAAGAATATAAATGTAGAATAATGGCCAAAGCAACCGATTCATAAATGAGACGTTTGTATTGACAAAACTTTATGTAGCACATAATCATGTTAATTTGTCTTGACTCAGACATAAAGCATGTGCTGATCTCATTTTTTAGAGGGTACAGCAACCCCAGACGTGCCAGACCTGCGGAGGCTTCGCCTTCATCCCGTGCCCGATGTGCCATGGCAGCAAGATGTCCGTGTTTCGGAACTGCTTTACAGATTCCTTCAAAGCCCTCAAATGCACTTCCTGCAATGAAAACGGCCTGCAGCCCTGTGCGAGCTGCAGCCAGTGAGGACGTTAAGTGCCTGGACCCAATGTCTCTCCTTCCTCTTCTGCATTACTGATACTGAAACCTGAACATAAAACACAGGCAGCAATCCTCCTTCATGGCCATTGTAGTAAAGAAAATTGGAATTTCTAATAAAATCTGTAAACTGATTCTGCAGGTGATCATGCTGTAACACCGATAAAGATTTTCAGTCCAGATCAATCCATCCGTCCAAAAATATATAATTAAATAAAAATAAATAAAAAACAGAACAACCGGACTTTTATTCTGAAGCTGAAGCATTTCAGTTCCCATCTGCTAGGTTCAATTCAACAATGTCTGGTGTGTGTGTGGAGTTCCAAGCTTTACAGAGCTAGATGACGCCTGGTAGATTCACATACAGATTAGACTAGAACAACTTCCCCTCACGATGGAGGCTCTTAGCTCTTTTTTCACCTGGCTCATGAGAGATGTTTATTGACATGCATGAAGGTGTAAATTAAAGTAGAACTGGTTGAAAATCAGACCCAATGATGCATTGTAAGTTTGAAAAAAGAACAAAGATGATATGTTTATTAAACTTAAATTCAGAATCTAAAACCATCCCGGGATTCGTAACAGACTGCTTAAAATAAGACTGGAGAGTCAAGATTCACAGGATCAGAGACAGCAGTAGAGCTAGGGCTAAACACAATGACTTCAGTCTTCTGATCATCCATCCATCCATTATCTTTACCCGTTTATTCCATTTTGGGTCACGGGGGTCGCTGGTGCCCATGTCCAGCAATCACTGTGCGAAAGGCGGGGTACACCCTGGACAGGTCGCAAGTCCATCACAGGGCCACATAGAGACAGACAAACAAGACAAACAACCATTCACTCTCTCACTCACACCTAGGGACAATTTAGAGTTACCAATCAGCCTAACATGCATGTTTTTGGTCTGTGGGAGGAAACCGGAGTACCCGGAGAAAACCCACGCATGCACGGAGAGAACATGCAAACTCCACCCAGAAGGCCCCTGGACCGGGGTTTGAACCAGGGACCTGCTCGCTGAGAGGCAGCAGCTCTACCAGTTGCGCCACCGTGCTGCCCAGTCTTCTGATCATCAAAACTTAAAAAACTTGAAGCCATCCATGTCTTGAAGTCATCAAGACATTTTAACAAAGGGTGAATGGAGCAAGAAATCTGACAATCATCAGCATAACAATGAAATGTAAGACAAGGTTTCCTCAGGATAGACCACAAAGGGAGCAGGCAGAGTGAAAACAAAAGGGGTCCAAGAATTGAGCCCTGTGGGACCCCACAGGAAAGAGGCACTGACGCAGATACAAAGGGGTCCAATAATTGATCCCTGTGGGACCCCACAGGAAAGTGGCACTGACGCAGATACACTATTTCCAGCCTTAACAATAAATATATTTGATAAAGTCTCCCAGATGGGAAGCGAAACATCTCCAACTTCAGAATAGAAGTCCAGTTGTTCTTTTAAATTATTTTCATGGTGAAGTCTCTTGGTGTGGTGTGTCTGTCTGTCCACAGAAGGGTCATGAACTGGTTTAACCTCCGGGAAATCTAAGCTCGTTAGTAAGGAGGCATTCTAATTAACAAGTCTCTCATCACTAATCCCATATCAGACACAGCTCTGGATAACAGACACTCGGAACAAACAGTAAAAGTCAAGGGCTCAGTTTTCAGACTGCAGGCCACAAACTGGAACTTTGTTCCCACTGAGACGCAAAGATGTATCCAAGACTAATTTAAAATATCAACTACTACTTAGTCAGTAGCATTTACGAGTCCTATTACCAACATAAAAGCATCCGATAAGCTTCAAAATTCCTTTGCAGCATGTCAAAAGCACCAGCTTTACTCCAAATTTAGGATCTGAGTGATCTTATCACATAAAGCTACTGTTTCAGGAACAAATACTTTTGTTTCTGTAACAATTTGCAAGATTCTGCAAATACTTTAAAGAAATAATGAGCTTGAAAGTATGAAACTGAAACCAAACCATGGTCTAAAAGCACACTTTTATTAGTGTTTTATGTAAAGTACTCAAAATCAGACATTTTTTTAACCAACAGCATCAGATTTCAGGTCATTATGAGGTAATACAGTTTTGTAATTCAAAATTGTTCTGGAAAACATTAACACTTATATTAAATACATTTTGTCATTGTCATCAGTGAGACAAAAAAAAATGTTTGAAACATGATTATGAGATGGAGGACATCAAAACAGTGATTAGAGCTGTCGTCTCTCAGTGAGAAGGTTGCAGGATTGCTTCCCGGCCTGCAACCTTTCTTGATGGTTTGTATGTTCTCTCTGTGCATGCATGGGTTTTCTTTGAGGACTCCAGTTTCCTCCCACAAACTTTAAAACATTTATGTCAGCTTAAACTGTTCAGAGGTGCGGGTGAGAATGTTTGTCTCTATGTGTCCCTGTGGTGGACTTGCAACTTGTCCAGGGTGTACCTATCACACAGTGACCCCCATAGAGACAGGCACCAGCTACCAGAGTCCCGGAAAAGACCAGCGAGTAAAGATGGATGGATTTATGAGATACTATATATATATATATATATATATACACTCAGTCGAAATTTAAAGATGGCATCTAGTATTATGATGTGTATTTATATTATGATATAAATGTATTTTTTAAATGGAAGTAGCCTAATCAAATAAAGAAGATAGAATATTTTAAAATGATGTCTCATAATTTTAAAATACCAAGTCAAGCTCAAGAGACTGCATCTGTTTTTTTTATTCTGTTCCTCAACTAACAAATAAAGATTCCTATCTAATATTTTGATAAATTCTTAGTGAAAATTATAAAATGATGAGATACAAAATTATAATAAACCACATTTATAAGCTATCTTACACTTACAAAAATATACAATCTCAAAATCATGACTTAGTAGTTGGTCATTAAAATGTACTATGCAGCATCTCATAAATATTACTTAGTATCCCTAAGATTTAGGATCTTATAATGATAATATTTCTAAATTTTAACTTAGCATATTATAATTATGACTTAGTGTACCATATCAAAGACTGAACGTCTTCAATTAGCACATTCTAATGAAATACTAGTTCATAATTGTGACTTATTCTCTTATATTGACTTAGCATTTCATATATAAGATTTATTTTTTACATACCATACTTAAATGAAGATGTTACGAGGTAGCATCTTCACTTAACATATCATAATTAAGAGACTTATGTCTTTGTCATGACTTCGCATTTCATAAAGTTATGACTTAGGATCTCAGAATTATACTTTCATGAGTACGAGATGCTAATTGTGTTGCATAAGTCATAATTTTGAGGTTCTCATTCATAAATTTGCAGTAGTATTTAATAATTATAAGAATTTTTTTTTTCCAGCGTGGCACCATTTTCATAGTAAAACCGATTAGTTCTGTAACTTAATGTGCTGCTATCCCTGGAAAACAGCAGACTAAATCATTTAATCCAGATCCTCATAAGAAACAAAACGTTTCAGTCGTCCTGGCAGGAGCACGTTGTCTTTGGGCCAACATTTCCCGCCATGTTGGTGTTTTTAACCCAACGGATGACGTCATGATTTTTGGCCGCCATGATGATCCTCGGGGGTCAGGAGGAGCCGCAGCGCAGCTCTCTACGCCGTCATAGCCCTGTACAATGCTGCTTGAACATATTCGAGACAAGGCAGCACCGTAAAGAGGCTAAAAGCGTAGAGCACGGATGGAGGGGGCGTCAACATGGAGACTTCTGTCAGCTCCTCTTCATCATCTCCTGCGCCTGCGATCCAAACCAAAAATAATCCATCACCAGAGGAGAAACAGATTTATCAACGAGATCTGTTCTAACTCATGCGTAATAAAAGGTTATGTCGCTGCGCAGGATGTGATTTGGTGAAGAGTGAGGATGGAGCTTTTTTTTTTTTTTTTTTTAATGGAGATCTGAGACCCCAGCTGGGCAGGCTGAGCGCGCCCCCATCTGTGGGCTGATGGAGATGAAAAGACAAGAGAGGAGAGGAAGGAAAAAAAAATACATAAATGCATCGACAGCATTAAACAAAAGATTTTTTTTTTAGATCAAGTTTATTAAATCTGATAATGATGAGTGAAAGCAGCGGGTATGGCGCGCGCAGAGGAGAGGTGATGCTTCTGCTTTCCTTTTTTTTTTCAAATGAGCCACAAACTGATGGGTTTGTCTTATTTTAGAGTCAATGTGCACAATAATCAGTCCCCCCACCCCCCAACAGTTCAGAGGAAGGGGTCGATATGAACGGAAACAGGATGGGCAGTGGCGCAACTGACCTGGGAATGGCACGACGAGACACTGATGATGCGCGCAACACCCATTGAACACAACACTCAGCGGGGTTTAAAAACCTGCAGACTGAGGGGGGGCTGGTCCGCACGCTTCCACTGTCCGAGCTCGACGACAAAAGATTTAAAAAAAAAAAGAAAGGGTTTCAGAGGAGAGGAGCGTGGTCCGGCCGCGGCGCTGTGCGTAATGTTTTGAATGGTGGGTCAGTGCGCAGACTGGTTGGAAATGACTGTTTTTATTGACGTCAGCGTACAGGCTAGACCCCCCCCCCCCCCCCCCTTCCTCCATATCCCTCCTCTTTCACATCCTCCACAACTGCACCATCTAATGGTTTTACATTCCACTCAACCATCTGACAGGAAAACAGCTCTCAACTCTTTTACCCCACCTGCACAGATGTCAACATCCCAAAAACACACATCTGGCTCAGTTTACACGATGCAACACAAACGACACAAATCAACTTCATTTAATAAATTAGTCCAAATTTATTCAGAGTCCTTCAGAACATCAGGTAAAATATGGCGAACACCTGCAGAAATTCACATCCATCTTGGGAACATGAGCTGACTCCGAGCCGCGGGCAGGGCTGCAGCTGGATGCAGGACTGCAGCTGGATGCAGGGCCGAAAGCAAAAAAAAAAAAAAAAAGCACACCAACTCTGCAAATTTTACACAAAACATTCAGCACAAAACACCAAGATGGAGGTATTTACACTGATTTACCACACAAAGTTTGACATCTGTTGGCAGAGCTCAGCGTTTGTGGAAATCTGAACAATACGCAGCTCGTTTATGCGGTTGGTAGTTTTGCGATGAAGAACTTGGACTTTATATTCTGTAGAAAAGGAGACTACTTTCCCATTCTGGCCAGAGCTGCATTACAGGAACATAAAACCATCATCTGAAAACCTCAAAATACTCAAAACTTCAGGACTGCCACAAAGAAAGGAAAAAATATCTATCTTTTTTTTAGTTTTCATAAAAGATTACAAAAATTAGTTTTATATATAAACTATTTTAAGTGATTCTCTCGTCAAGTTAACTCTTCACCTCTAATATCTAATAAGAAGCTTTAATAACAGCTTTTTTGCGTTTTTCTGTAATACCAATAAAAATCTTACCACCAACCCTTGTTAGAATCTGTGCAGCGTGGAGCCATCGTTCACAAGTTTTTCAAAAAACGTTGTCTAGAGATTAAATAAGTTGTTTAAATACGCAGCGCTTGGGTTTCCTTGGCTCGAACGAAGGAAACTCGATCACTGTGGTTCCAGCACGACATTAAAGTAAAGCACAGAAACGGTCCTGGTCCTGCTCTGGGTTTTGCTTTCCAAACAGCTGACTTGTTCAAAAGCAGATGTACAACTGGAGGAATGTGGAACAAAAAGCAAACATGGAGGATCCTACACTTCCTGTTGAGATCCAGAACCACTCGAACGTCAGCGTGAACGAGGATCTCCAGCAGGATGAACTCTCTCTGTTCGGCTGTGTTTTGGTCTCCAGACTGTTCTTCGGTAAGACTTGACGAGTTGTTTGTGGTGGTCAGAGGAAGAGGTGGACCTGGCTATCCTTTCTTCTTCTAATGTTCTTTTAGGTGCTGCAGAATGTTTCCTCAGTGGCCCTTCAGGTACTATAGGATCTCCAAGTCTACGTGTCGAACCTCTGGGTTACGGTGCTACAAAGACAAGAAACAATGTCACTACATCTTTACGTGGAGTTCCTTTTAATTATTTTGTAGCTTTTATTTATGCTGCTTTGATCCAACCTTGAGTTCTTTCTCCAAGCGGTCCACTTCAGCTCCCAGCGTATCGATGATGTTCTCCCCGTGTTTCAGCATGAAGATCTCCAGCTCTTCAGGGGATTTTACCTGTTGAATTTCCTGCACATGCAAAAAACAAACAAACAAAAAAATAATCAGCTTGGTCAGAAAAGTTCTGAACACACAAACTGGACATCATCTGCCTCCAAAAGGTATTGTATACTACACTGATTTGAAGGCCCAGCTCCTGTTGGTCTTCTGTCTCTGCAGTGATGCAAGGGTTCCCAATCCTGTTCCTTGAGGAACACCATCCTGCATGTTTTAGTTGTTTATGTGCTCCAACACGCCTGCCTTTAATTAATGGGTAATTAACAGGCTTCTGAAGAACCTGAGGAAGTAGTTAAATCACTGAATCAGGTGTGTTGGAGCAGATAAACAACTAAAACATGCAGGATGGTGTCCCTCAGGGACCAGGGTTGGGAAGCACTGTTTTAGGGGAGGGGTGGAGTCCACTACAATTCACAAAATAAACTTCTTATGCTGCGTTTTCTACGGTCACCCAGGCCAAAACGTTTTTTGCTCAGGAAAATGAAATGTAGTGTAACTGTCTGATCTTGGGGGAAACAACAGTCTGTGATGCCGACATCGCTTGGTGTGCTAAGCATTCTCCAGAATCAACAATGTTGTTTTGTAATTATTTTTGTAAAGGAAGATTTCTCCAAACTCAGTCATCAGAAGACTTGTGCTGTTTTTCAAATGTTAAGGTGATCCAAACTGGATTGTCAGCTGCGCGCATCTGAAATTAAAAGCCCGACCCGGCCCGCCCGGGTTAGAAATGACAGCTCTAAGCTAAAAACAGGCATATTGTATGTGGCCATTTTTAAAACAGTGGGTTTTCTCACTCAGATCTCAATTAATATTCATCAATGCAACACCTTTAACAAAATACATTTATAAACAGATCTATTAATAACATCCACAATGCACCAAAAAAATGGAAGCACTTTGTGGACAGGTTCTGTGATGTTAAAACTCCAGAGGAACAACGATGTTTCTTCATAGCAAGAGTTGGTCTATGTTGCATCCAGAACATGAACATCTGCAGAGTGACAGATTATATCTTAAAGAAATACGAGATGCAAAAGAGATTAAAAAGTAAAAAAAAATCTTGATGTGCTTTGAATTCCTGAACTTATTTGAGGCAGCAAAAGAGTGGTACTGTATTTCTCATGAGCTGGTTCGTCACTAACCCCCTGGACAGAGATCACTCTGCTAGATGCTGAAGGGAAGACACAAACTGGTTATAGGAGCTTCACACAAAGACACTTTAATAAAATCAACATCTTTAAGGCTCTCTGAATCAGTACATATTCCTGTGAAGGTCACACAAGAGTGGGGGTTTCACAGTTTGACTGTTAAACACTTTATTGTTTATATTTTTTCCCGTGTATACATAGAATTGTTTAAAAAAGCTCCTAACATCTGCACATTTTTTTTTGCTAAATTTACATTTAAATAAACTTCTTGGGCCTAGTTATTGTCCAGACGTTTGTCTTTGACATGTGCACACTGAAGCCGTTACTGTAGTGATGCAAGTCAAACATATTTAAACTGTCTTTAACGCTGAATGTCACGATATTATTCAACAGGGTACATTTTTCAATCAAAAGTAAAATAAGAAAATAGGACAGTTTTTTGAGAATACAGCAAAATATAACAGGTCTCTCTTGAAAATGAGTCCTCGTGACTCAACGAGATTAACCTGTATAAATAAAGTTGAATTAATAAAATAAAGTCTTACGTTAAGGATTTGGTCGATGTCTTGTTTCTCCAGATAAGACCGCGTCACCACTCGGCCATCAAAGTCAACTTCAGCCTTGAAGCGAACTTTACTCAGCCCCATATCTGTGGCCTTCACATCATGGATGGCCCTGGTCACAAAAAGCAAAAACATACGATCACTTCTGCACAATATTTCTGCTACACAGAGTTCAATACGAGACCGGGAAGATGAACCTGAATGACTGTTCACCTCAAAGCAGGCCGTTTAGCACGGACAGTAAATGATCCAACATAAGGAAGCACTGGGGGTGATTTTGCTGCTTTCTGTCTCGTTAATTTTAGGAAATAATTTACAGATAAAAATCCGTATCAGTTTGGATGTTAGAGAAAGCCCTTAAGACCTTGTTATCAAGAGATGAAACTGGATTATTCTGTTTAAACATGTGAACATCAAAACAAGGAGGAGTCACGTAAACACAGAGTGGTTTATTTTAAGCCCGAATCGTCTTAAAGTACCCCCGTGTCTTCATTGTTACAACACTCAGACATGGATTTATTTCTATTCGCGTGATAATTTGAGGCACCACTTGATCACACTTGTGTTTTGTGAAGTCTGTTCACTTGCTGACCTGACCGCAGGATCGTTCTCCAGAAACTCTGTCAGCTTCTGGACACGCTCCGGCTGTATGGAGCGTCCCAGCAGTGCCTCGGTGTTAGTGTAGATGAGGAAGGCTGAAACGGTGCCAAGCAGGGTTCCCACGCCAAGAGAGCCCAGACTGTCGTAGTACGGGTTACCTGAAACGATAAGTCTGATGTGAAAGCTGCAACATTTAAAGTCCAAAACTAACATGAGATGCAAGCAGCTTATGATTCAAGTTTAATAAAAGTGCAGACATTAATGGAGCGTGATCTTTGTGTACCTGTGAGTGAGGTGAGCCCCATGCAGCCAGAAGCTAAAATAACGCCAAACACGGCGGCAGCGTCTTCCAGCAGCACCACATTCGTACTGGGGTCACGACTCTGCATTACTGCACACAGAGAACAAAACAACAACAAAGTTTAGTTTAGGTGACTCAATTTGCAAACTGTGATGTTAACAATAACATTAATACTCGCCGAATGGACCAACGAATCAATGTGGAGGGGCATATACAGTAGTCCCTCGATACTTCGCGGTTCGACTTTCGCAGACTCACTCTTTCGCAGGTTTTCAACACAAGAATGTATACGACAGAGGACTGGCGATGGAGAAAGACAAACCCCACCCATCCCCTCCTTTTCCCTCCTTTCTCTTTCTGAAGCTGTCTGTCACAGCAGAGGCGATGGGGAATGACAAACCTCCACCCCGGCTCCCTCCTTTCCATTTCTCTGCGGTGACTGACAGCCTCAGAAAAAGAGAGGAAGGGGCGGGGTGGGGTCTGTCATTCCCCATCGCTACTGCTCAGGGAGCAGGGATGAAAAGATCAGATGAACAAATGTAGAATATCTGAGAAAATGCTTAGGTGAAAAAGAAACGTGAAAAGAAAGAGAGAGTGGCTGAGCGCGGCTGACTCAGGTATGACAGACCTCCTCCTCTACTTTCTCTTTCCGAGGCTGTCACAGCAGAGAAAGAGAAAGGAGGGCGTGGGGTCTGTCTTTCCCCATTGTGTCCTAGAAACACACAACAGGCGGGCGCGAAACAGGCGGGCGCGCAACAGACAGCTTTGGCGAACGAAAGGAAGGGACAGCTGGGGCGGGAGGGGGGGTCTGTGAGTCACACGAGCGGCATGGATTGTTTATTTAAAATAATAAAGCGCAAACATTGTTAAGAACATTGCAAGAGTGTGGGAAGCC